AAAGAGGCGCTGCTGGAGTGTGCAGACCTCCTCTCGAGTGCCATTGCCGAGCCAACGCCAAACAGCCAGCTGGTGGATACGGGGCACCAGCTGTTGGATTACTGCTCAGGCTATGTGGACTGCATCCCACAAACACGCAACAAATTTGCCTTCCGGGAAGCCGTGAGCAAACTGGAACTCAGCCTGCAGGAACTGCAGGTGTCCTCAACAGCTGCTAGTGTGCCCGGAGCAAACCCCGTCCTTAATAACTTATTGTCATGTGTCCAAGAAATCAGTGATGTGGTTCAAAGGTAGCTACTGTCAATCTGGGTAAAGGAAAAATTACACATGGAGGGGAAACTCTGTTCCTGTATTGATGCTTTCAAAAGGAAAGACTGATACTTGAGTGAGTTTTTGTGAAGTACCTCAGATCACTGAGTTCTCCTCACGTTTACAGTTTCATCTCAAAAATAGGGGGAGGGAGGGAGGAGACACTGGAGGAAGGGGTGTGTGTGAGAGATTGAAGCTGAAAGGGCAGAATCTCAAGAATTTTCCCTAACCAGCAAATCTGATCTACTTATGTCTGCAAGTGAGAGAAGTTCCTTGCTCTTGCCTGTAAGAGGCAGGAGAATCGATGGTGGGTTCTTTAGGTAGGGGTGGTTTCCACGTGCCATCCAGAGTCCTGGAGTGACTGCATGGCCAGCTGGCTGTACAGATCCTCCCCTTTCTGCACTAATGCATATTTTGGCCTCCAGAGATCACAAGGGAAAGGCAGTAGGGCATGGTTGGTACCTAATGCTGAGAATTCTGAGCCTGAGCCCCAGAGGGGGGAGAGTCTGTGTGTGGTTGTGGGGAAAGAGGTAACGCACTGATGGTGTTCAGAGCTGCTGGAAGTGGATGCACTAGCCCAGGTGGCATACTTCCACAGTACTGCTGCTGCTGTAGTAAGAACTGCAAAATGAGTTAATATATTAAACTAACCCCTTTCCCTCCCACCCACTTCATGCCATTACACATTTATATTTGAAGCATCAGGCATGCTGGGCAGATTTGCCACTGAGTACCTCCCCCCCCCCCCCCCCCCAAAACACAAACACACAGTCTTCACTTTGGTTGACTCTTAACCATTTCTGGTAGTCTAGCATGGGTGCTACCTGACAGTTGGTCACTTGTGAGTAGTTTGAGGCTGTTGCACAACTTACCAGTGTCTGTTGATAAACTGTAGCTTGTTTTTAACTTTGGTACAATGTTGGTTCCTTCTTCTGTGTGGTCACCTGGAGATGCACAGTTGCCAAGGCACTGCCTCCTGTCAATGCAAAATCTCACTGCTCTCTACATTCCTTTGTAGCATTGAAAGTGCTGACACTAATACAGCCATCTTGGGAACCAGCAATATAGCCTTACTGGCCCTGTAGTCCCACTGTGTAACAGCCTTCTCAGCATGTCTGACCCCCAACATAGCATTAGCTTTGTGGGAGTTGCTCCACAAGCCCTGGCCTTTCCAAGTCACTAGGCTGAATATATATGTAAGATGTGTCCACAGTCTTTTTTTTTTAAATGCTAGAAATCCAACAGCATTTTGTGCTGTGGAACGTAGACAGTTCTTCCTACTATAGCACAGCAGAATGTGATGATGACACAACTGCTTTGTTTTATAGAGCACCAGTGTTTGTGTTGATATTCATCAGTTCTATAGTGGATTAAAAAGCTGCTGTCTAATGGGGTTACATGGTGACTGGGGTCAGTAATTGCCATAGGCCATATCCTGAGCTCCTCAGTGTTTTATTCAGCCTTCATTGAAGCCCTTGGGAGCTTGCCTGAGGAAGAGCTTCACAATTGGGCCCAGTGTGTGTGGAAAAAGGCCTTGCCTGCTATTTGTGCTGTCACTTAAAAGGAGATAATGTGTGACCAAAGCACCACTGCAGGATGTCTCCAATACAGTATGCTCTGCTCTGGCAAGTGGTGGGTTTCACTTTTTCACAAATGCAAGTGACAGGCTGGTAATCACCACTTTGTTTTAAATGCACAATACACCACTTCCAGAGGCCGCCACAAATGGAGATGAGTGACTAGAACATGCTCAGAAACCTCCTCCTTTATTCTATGTGTGCAGCACGCTTTCCAGTACCTTATGCAGGTGGATTTTGCATGGATGGTCAGCGGAGCTGGAGGACAGAAAAAGATCTTTAGCCTATTCCATATTGGTAGCAAATTATAGATTACTGAACACCTGATTTATTTCTCTCTCTAAAATTAAATGTCTATACCAAAGGGTCACTCTTCCAACATGTGTGTTGTGCACAGGGGTTAAAGATTATGATCAGCTCAGCACAGAGTTTGTATCAGTAGTGTTTTCATTGAGGACAATATTGGATTAAACTAAAAACACCTTAATCACCAATCACACTACCAGTGTTGTCAATTGTTTTGTTTAATAATTGTTGATGTAATATATTTTTGATTGTTTTTCTAATTTAATTTTCACTCTATTGTCTGACTGTGAACTGCAAACAGTGTTAAACTTGATGTAAATAAGGTTTTGCCTGTCGTTCCACAAGTTTTGCCAATTTGCATTTTGTTTTAAATAAAAGTTGCAATATTTTATTGGCAAATAAACTTGAATACATGGTGCTTTTATTGGAGTGGTTCAACTTGCCTGGTTCTAAGCTAAAGATTGCTGCACTGAGCTTAAAAATTAACATCTCTGCAAACATGTAAAAAATAAACATTTAACTGAGCAGGTTTGCAAAGAACGTCAATATTTTATTAACCCCACTGAAATGGGATTGTTCCAGCCAGACTACAGGGTTGCTGGGTAGTCACACATGCTTATTTCTCAACTGTATAATATGCGAATTCCTTTCAGCCAATCTGAGTGCAAGGATTTGTCTCATCAGTTTTTCCAAACTTTTCTATAACTGAAGTTCTCTCTTGTGCTAGTTACTAAACCCCCTTTTATTTTTTTCCCCTTGGATCTGTTTTTAGCACCAGGGAGCATCTCCGCTTTTGATGGGCTACAACTGAATCTTATGTTTTCCCCTTTCATCTGAATTTAACCTAGATGAGAAAAATAGGAAGCTTTGATGATGAGGAGCTGGTTTTCTTTTGGTCTTAATTCATGACCAACTAATGGTTTATGATGTTTTTATGGGGTTTATTCTTTTGGATAATATTTTTTGAAGTCTTGCGTACGCTGAAGTGAAAGCAAGTAGGGAGCTGGTGATAGATGGTAAACTCCTTGGCTAGCATGGAGATGGTCAAGTAGAGTTTGTGTAAGTACTCTTATACCTATAACTTAGTATACAGTTAATTACAGAAGTGTAGTGGTGAGGTGAAAGCTGCTCTGCTCTAACAGAGTCAATAAATATATATCACTCTGCCAAAAGAAAAACAGTAAAGAACCATGTAGCCCATTTATCTTCACAGTCCTATAGCTGTGCATGGTCATTTACTAGTAACTAGAAGCCAATGTGCCAGGAGGGAATACGAACTCAAAATCCACTTCAATAGCAATTAGACAAAACATGCCTGGTCCGACTCTTTCTAAAGTGAGGGCAAGGGCTGACTAGTAACCATTGGCACAGTTTAAAGCCTACAATAGATCAAAGAGCCACAAGTACAACGTCCAGGCAGCTGAACTCTGTCCTTAGTAAAACTGTTGGAAATGGGTGATGACCCTGTTGATTGCATTGGCCTCATTAGCACTACAAAAGTAATTCTCCTCCTTTGATAGTCACCCCTTCTTATCAACTATTGAGAATAGGCCACTTCCACCTTAATTGAATTAGCCTCATTAGCACTGACCCACCCCTGACTTGGTAAGACAACTCCCATCTTTTCATGTGCTGTAATATTCATACTGCTTTCTGTATTTTTCACTCTATACCTCTGATGAAGTGGGTTTTAACCCACAGAAGCTTATACCCAAATAAATTTGTTAGTCTCTAAGGTGCCACAAGACCACCTTGTTGTGGTAGCTGTGATACAGACTAACACAGCTACCACTCTGAAATCTGTCCTCAGTGTCTGCTGTTCCACCTCATCTTCACTTTTTGACCTACAGATTATTCATCTTATTCCACTGTATTTAGTGTTAACATTTTAGGGCTGCTTTTTTTTTTAAATCATTTGGCAGGTACCCCAGACAGCAAACAGTCCCTCTTGTAGTAATACTATCTCTGGCCAAAAGCCAGAGTGCGTAACAGCAAAATCCTAGCTAGTCTATGAAATAGTAATCAAATGGCAGAGTTCTCCTTCACAGCCACTACTCTCCAACCTTTGCTCTAGACAAGGACAAAGACAAGCCACGCTGGTCCTCCTGCTTTATCAGAGCAGTCAAGAGGCCAAGTTGCTGCAATTGGGAGCTCCCTTAAGTGAATGCTGCAGAAGTAGTTTAGCCAAACTGAGGAAGCTGAGCATGAGGAGTGTGCATAGCAAGAGCTGCCTCAGTGAGGGGAAGATGCTGGCTCATATCACCAAATGCTATCCCTGACAGAAGTTCTGGGCTGTAGTGGAGACATATTCATAGACTTGGAATTGCAGACACACTGTTACCTTGCTGTCTAGTGGGGGGAAGGGTTGGCATGGCTAAAGTGAACATCTCTTCACAGCCGATAACAAAATAAGGTTTTTTAATCTTTATATTAAATTGTCAAGAACTATGTGTCCTCTCATTTGGAAGTCACCAAAGAGCAAGGACACCACAAGGTCAGTGTTATACACCTGGAATGCCCCCAGTAGGTGGAGGCTGCAGATGGGATTCTTAGTCCTAATCTCTATCCAAACTGTGCATCATCATCTGTGCAGGCTGCTGGGCATCCTCTCCTACAGCTGTCGTCGTTAACCAGATGGCTTGGTAAGAAGGTTCCTGGGACACACATTCTCACTCTGAGACCAATCCCCAAATGGGAGATTGCTCCATAGCCAAGTTTAGGTTTTTCTCCACTGCTTTCTTACCAACAGCTGGTGTTGGAAATGACGCATGGGGGGAGAGGCCCAGAGGAGAGGAAGTGACTTCTGTGACCTCTTCAGACTTTCCCACAACCCCTCACACTACAATAAACCAAGGGCCCAGACCAGCTCTGCTCATGTGAAGCAGACCACTATTTGCCAGCCAGAAATCTTGGTTTAGCAACAGCTAATCATTGCTTCTGCTCTGAGCTGCTTGCTAAGAGATGGAACTTCAAGACAGGTACAGCCAGCCCAGCCTTCTACCAGCTCAAGGCTGCACAGGTGCCACACAAGTGTGACAATCAGAGCAACCCTTAGAGGCCTCTTTCAACTACTGAGGGACCTCAAAAGTTCCCATCACTGTGCAAGCGGGTGAATTTTCAATCTGCTCATGCAAGAGGAGCAGGTCTCATTCTGCAGCAAGTAGCAATGCTGGTTACTGGTACAGTTCCCCCTCACATTCAGGGTCAGGGTAGGAAATAGTTGATGCGGTGAGAGATAGATTTACAACCTTGTGCAGAGAAAAGCTTCTCCTCGGGGATGAACACCATCATCCTGACCACCTCATCCAGCACCTCCTCAGTGTATGGAAGACTGCGGGCCAGAAAAGCATCCCGAACGCACAGCTTCACATGGCGATTCTCCAAGGGCAGGAATGGCACAAAAAAGTCAATGAGGTTCTCTTCAAGGAGGTGGCTGTGGGCAAAGCCACCATCTGCAATGAAAACCAGAGCAACAAGGGCACTCAATGCACAGCTTGTAACAGAACCATTTGTGTCTTCCAGGCGCCTAGATCTCCATCCATCTCAGCCAGCACAAATGTTAAAAGAACAGTTCAGTTTGCCAGGAGAAGCTAGTTCAACACTGAGAAAATATTGTCTGAGACAGGGCCTTGGCTAATCGTGTGTCTGGTTCTTCTGACCTGGAGTTAAAGGCGTCTCTTTCTAAACAAAAGGTCCTTCTGCCCTGAATAAGGGAGTCTCTGACACTGCTCATCTAACCATGCAGAAGCAGCTTGGGGAGGGGGAGGGTCATGGTTTCAATTACACATACAGAAATCATGAAACACTCCCTGGGTAGGAAGCCACAGTCGCTCTTTTGCATGAGAAACCATGTGGCTCCACAGCCCGTGTGCCACTCCTGGCCACGTTGCTGCATGATGATGTCAGAGTTGCATGCCACTATGGAGACCCAAAGGGAAAAATCTGCCAGAAGGAGCACTGGGGGGTCCGGTGCTGCCCCCGCATGTCCTGGGCCTCTCTTCACTCTGAGCAGCCGGCTCTGGGTTCTGGAGGTGGCTCTGCTCAGCACCGTGTCCTGAGCAGGGTGGCAGTAGTCACCACGAGTAACAAACTGCCCACGCAATCGTGAGGCTACATCTGCCCCATATCTCATCCCGTTTTTAGGAAATCTGGCTGATACTTACAGATTGCACACGACACACACTTTTATCTCTGGACACAAGACATGTCTGAAACCATCTAGTGATACCAATAGCGGTCAATGCTATTTTAGGGAAGTGGTCAGCACACCCACTCTCAGACCAGCTAGCCAACAGGGTACTACTGATCCGTAGGGATTCGGGAGTGAAAGGGGAAGAGGATCCTGTGGTCATCTGGTTGGGATATGCCAGCATAGCATAGGCTAAGGCTGAGCTGCGGCAACATTGTTCATATGGTACTTCTACTCCACTCCCTTTTAAGTGATAATAGGGGCTGTAGCTCAGATAGAAGAGGAAATACAGTCTTATGGCTAAGGCACTGGTCTCTCTCACAAGATATCTAGGTTCAAACCCCAGCTTTGCCACCAAGCCTGTGTGACTGTGAATCAAGTCACTGACGTACCTCCCCAGGGGTGTAGTGAAGATAGATTTTGGGGGGTGGGTGTTCAGTAATCTTTGAGGGCCATGAAAAAGCCAATCAATAAAATGAGTCCCCATGTCTCTCTGCTCCCTGCCAGTCCCACCCAGGGAAGGGGCAGCAGCCTGCAGAACTCCAGTGCAGACTTGCAGCGATTAGCTCAGTTACCTGTGGACTCAAGCAGCTCCAGGCGTAGGTGCTGCTCCAAGTATTCCATGGTGATCTCCTCCCTGGCCCGTCCAGCTCGCCAGAAGTCCAGGGTCACCTGGTTGATGATGTTCCCACCAATGTTACTGGGAAGGAAATGGAAGTTAAATGCTTTATCTGGAATAATCCTAATGTTTATTCCTCACAAAATCATACATCAAAAACCACTAACAGCACCCAGGTCCAGGCCTCGGGGCCGTTGGTAGCACAAGGATTCATGTAGCCCCAAGCCAAAGCTCTGCCTTTCCAATGGCCCTAGACATGGATTTGCTTTCTCTCCCCACCCTGCAAAGAGAACTGAACACTTTTTCACCAGATCAACTGCTTCCATGCCCCAGCCCTGATTCTTAGGGTTAGGCCCCACCCTCCCAGACTATTACACACTGTGAATCAAGAGTACAGAACATATTGACTACAGCCCCTTTATCTTCCAGCCAGCCCCTTCTGCAGAGAAGTCAGCAAAGGTCAGAGAAACTGGCATGAGTCCCACTAGAAGCAATGGTCCAGACAGCACTTTGTGTGGATGAGAAAGTGAAGCCGGAAGATCATGAAGGTGGCAGAGAACCCACATTGGTGTTCTTGCCTGACTGACTAGTGCTTTGTAAGGGGAAGGGCAGCTGGAACTCACACATTGGGGCTACTTTTTAAAAAGGTTGTTTCTCTAAGCGCACATGTTCAATGAAAGGGGGCAGGCGGGCACTGAAGCTTCCAAAGGGAACCCCAAAGCTCAGGCAAAATTATCCCAGTCAGAATGGCCTGGAAACAGCATCAGTGCTGGTGAGGGAGTTGCACCAGCTAGAGTGGTGTCAGCCCTGTCCCCACCTTAAGGTGTGTGTGCGCGGGGGGGGCGGCGCCCACTTGGCAGAGATCCCAGGACAAAAGCTGCTTGAGCCCCTCCCAAGCACTTAGCCAGTACAAAGGGGTTAGGAATTGAGGAGGCAGAGAAGAGTAGGACTGGTGGACACACTGACACTCCCCCCTCCCTTCTCCAAGGGGTTCGTGGGCCATCTCTGATGATGGAGGGGACAAACTCGTAGTCAAGATGGGAGTGGGGGAGGGATGAGACTAAAAGACTCCCCTCCCCCCCCATTGCCCACATGTTAGTTCTGAGCAGCCTACTCCCTCTACCCCAGCTCCCCTTCAAATTTTAGTTAGCTCTGTCCTGGAAGCTGCAGCTCCCACATTTCCCCTGGGGTCAACAGGAAAGAAACCCCTTCTGCTTCACAGAGACACAGCCACCCCCATAAGGGGAGGACCCAGTGTGGCGAAGGTTCCAATGACATCTCCGAGAGCAGTCTGGTTTCTAAATGGCAGATGTGCAAAGCCAATATTTCTGCGTGCACAGCCCAGAGGAGCCCTGCTGCCCCCCTTCCCACAGCACTTGGGATCACACGTTGTTAAAGGTTCCCCTCAGCGTGGCAGGAAGAATGACCACAAGAGCAGGGTAGCCCCTCCATCTTTGGGCTCAATTCCAGTTTCCTCTCCACAAACAGACTGATCAAGGGTTTGGAGGCCTATTCATGGGAAGGGGGGAGAGTCCCCCTGACCTCTAGGCCAGTTCTGAAAATGGCAGGCCAGGTCATGTGCTTTCTGAGCAGATAAACCCAGCTGGGATCAGGTGGAGAGAAGCGCCCAGGCCTCTAAACATCAGAATTAAGTAGAGGTCATGGGACCTGCCCTACCACAGCAGACTAATGGCCTAGTTTGGTATATCCAGCCTCCATCAGTGGCCAGCGGCAGATGCTCAAGTGGAAGGTAAACACTTCTCATCACTTCTCTGATTAACTGTGCAATGCTTGCCCAGCTTTCTGGGCTACACCATCTGAGGGGGGCACCGGTTTGATTCCTAAGATATAGCTCACTGGCATGGTGCTACTGATACAGTGTCGGATCCAGGGGTCAACTCCTGGGGGTTGCAGACATTCAGCCTCACAGTCAGCAGCACATGCCAACTAAGGAGCTACACGGATGGGCTCTGGAGAGACAGTTACGTTCAGCCATCATGAGGCAGGGGTGAGCAGCTGTAGTGAGTGGGCTTTGAGGCCATTGCACAAGGAGAATCCAGAGAACTACTTTCCCTTCAATTCCTGTGTCTTCCAAGGGCAGCTCCGTCCCACACCTCAATCTCCCAGATCATGGGACTTTAATATGGGTTGTCACGAACCTTGGAGAAAGCAGATCCTTCCCCGCGAGCCAACCCCTTCTCCCTAGGGTCCCTTGTAGTCACCTGAGGAATAGGAAAATGGATCTCCTGTAATCCACCTCATCGATGCTGTCATAGTGATCCACATAGGGTTTGATGGCATCCAGCAGGCCAGAGTGAAGCTTCTCTGCCTCATCGAAGATGAACAATGACTGCTTGCAGAGCTGCACTGTTTCGCTTATCTGCTTCTTCAGCTGAACCTGCATGGCAGTAGGAAAAGAGTGTGAACTGGTATAGATCACCTGGTGTTCACCACCAGCACTACTGCATCCTTCACACAGACACAACTACCTCTAGCCGTCTCACCCAGCCTCCCCCCGGCTCCTCCTCCAGCCTTTGTCCAGTTTCCCTGAGCAGAAGGTGTCACTTGGGCCCAACCCCCCTCCTGGGCTCTCAAGTTACATGCTCAGGTATCTTCCCTCAAGGAAAGTCTCCTATCCCCAATGCAGACAGTCCCAGTAAAACTCCCCTGCAACATTCCCAGGTCAATACTCCCCACTCCCTACTGTGTCACAACTTTGTACACTGGCATAGGGCTCCTCCAACAGCCTGTGCTCCTGCTCTATCCTCTATTAAAAGCGGGGTCTGAGATAGCTACCTATTCAGAAACGCCCCTTTGACTGGGATTGAAGAGGCTAGGACTGAGTTACCCCTACTACAACCGGCAGCTGTTGTGGCTGGTAACATCGGAGTTTTCTCACCTTGTACAAGTCCACATATTTGGGATGTGGGAAGTGAAAGAGCGAGATAAAGACTTTAACACACTCGCTTTTCAGCCCGTCTCGGTACAAGTGATCAGCGATCATCCGGGCCACAAAGTTTTTCCCAGTGCCAGACCAGCCATGGAACGACAGAGCCAGAGCCTTCTCCGGCTGTGGGGTCTCCAGGAAGCCTTGCACTGCTTTCAGAATGACGTCCTTTGCCAAGTGCTGCCCATGTAGCCTCCTGCTCAGGTCCAACTCTAACCCTGCAGAACGAAAAGAAACACTGATCTTACACCCAAGCCTGCCTGCTATCAATGTTTTTCTTTTATCATTGTAAAACCAAGGACGATTTTATAACTTTTTTGTATGTAGCGGTTACATGTAGAGCAACCTCTGTCTAAGTAGGGGTAAATTACTCCAAAAAACATTGATCCTAGATAGTTTTCCCTTCAAGTAAAGCATCTTGTTGTTTAAATAAACTTCTTGTTTAAATTTAAAAAAAAAATCACTTTAGAGTAGGAACAAGTAGGGAGGACGTTTGGCAGCATTTTTGCTCTAAGATAAGCCCATCAGAGCATTAGGCATTCTGCCTTGCATTGCTGGAGGGTATGCCTATTCAAGGGGTCTCTGTGCAGTGGTATTACAGATGCAGAGCTAGATTGGAAAGCAGCATTTTGAGTGATCTGATCACAGTAGTGCAAATCAGGATTCTTGGGCTCTATGCACAACTTTGCCTCGAACTCAGGCAAGTCACTTATCCTCTCTTTTCCCCTCTGGAAAGTGGGAATAGTATTTAGTTCATTAACGTTTGCAAAAAGGCACTATGATCCCCAGATGGAAGCTCCTAGAGAAGTACAAAGTATCAATCATTATTTGCATTGATTACTGAAGTCCCAGACCCAGTCACAGCTTAGGACATTTTCACATGGACTACATACCGGGCTCAGTATCTACCGTCTAAGTCAGGACTGGGAAAAAGGGATGGGGATTAGCAGACCCTCTTTGAGCAAGCTCTTCCTCCCCCTTCCATGTGCTCTGGGTGTGCAGGAGACTACAGGCAGGAATAGGTAGGGTCTCTGCTCTGGAAAGCGCTCTGCACAATGATGCTAAGATTTTGTCATGGGGTAAATTTTGTCTGTGCGTCACAGAACAGAAAATGTTCTGAAGTTGAACTGTCTAAACTCACGGAACACTGAGGCAAATTCAGCACCTGGCTAAGAACTGCTACTTCTCTAACTTTGTGACCAAAAATTTGATTTAAGAATTAAAAAAACCTCACACAGGTTTGCCCCTAGTTCTAGGAACTGGGAATTAGAGGTTTCACTCTAGCTGACAGGGAAACATGCACACACAATCTGTCTCTTTGGCCTCCATTCTCACTGCATATGAGCACCTCATAATCTTTAAAGAATTTAAGGCCAGGCGATACTGACATCCCCATTATACAGATGGAGAACTGAGGCACAGAGACTAAGTGACTTGCCCAAGGTTACACAGGGAGTCATAGCAGAGCAGGGAACTGAACCTGGGTCTCCTAAATTCCAGACTAGCACCTTAAACTCTGGACCATCCTCTATCTCAAGGGCCTTTACCTGTGATGTTGTTGGCTATTCTGCAGTCTCCTGTCTCGCAGCACTTTCCAAAGCTGCAGTACCAGCTGGAAAGGATCTCCAGATAATCCTGACCCACCAGGGGCAAGCTCCAACCTAGGAAAGAGGCAGCAGTGAGAAAGGAAATTGTATGGCAGGCTGTCTGCCTCCTGAGGATAAACCTTGCCCTATCAGCCTTGAATTCCCCACAGACCCATGCTAAATCTCCTATCAATTTACCAGCAGTACCAATGTCCATATCCACAGCACAACTATGGGGGAGGGGAGGAAGAGACTGACATGGGTAGATAGGCAGTCACTCAAATGGCACATTGCAGCTACTGGGTGAAGCCAAAGTAACTACACAATTACTGACCGTAATTACATACACATCTGGGAAGGACACTCAGTCAAAAGGGAGAGATCCCCATCACACACCCCTGTGCTAGGGATGTAGGCTGGGAAATCGCTAATCCCACTGGAGACGGGACACCACCTCTCGCCAAGGGATGCCTCTTGGCTTGGATGCAACCTTCTTAGAGCCCATACAAATGAATCCAATTTCGCAGCCTGGCTCAGCAGTGTCTGCTTACTGCAAAGGCTTGGGGGCCCCTCTCTGGTTGTGCTGAGGGTACAGAAGACAGCAATGAAAACTCACATGTGACTGACAGCTACAGGAATTAAATTGGAAACATACACAAAAGAAGCCGGTCACTCCATATCTTACACGCACAGCTACCTGGAGACACGGGCATTTGCACAACAGATCACAACACTTTTTCTTAACTGTGGGAACATAAAAAGACCCTGGCTCAGATCCTCAGCTGCTGTAAGAGGGTGTGATGGGATGGTCCGGTCCCGTAGCTCCCCTGCAACACTTTCTCTCCCCCAGCATTGGCCGAGACGTTCCGCGAGCCCAAAGATCCCCCTGCGGTCTGGCGGCCTGGGGCAGAGCGAGGTGCCGTGCACTGAACGCCCCACGCGGGTTGCCCGATCTAGGGGAGGGAGACGGGGCAGCTCCTCACCCTGCGGCTCCCGGCTGGCCTCTTCCTGCGGCTGCTCGCATCCCCCCCGCCACAGCCGGCAGGCCACGTACTGCCTGGAGAGGTCGCTCACTGCCCTACCCGGCGGCATCCCCGGCGCGGCGGCGCCCGGCTCCGCTTCCCGAGGCGCCCGGCTCCGCCCCGCAGCGCCGCACAGCAGCGGCCCGAGGCAGCAGAGCAGCAGCGGGAGCCCAGCCCCGCGCGCCATGGCCGCAGGGAGGCGGCGAGCCGGACTCCCCCAGCGCTGAGCTCACTTCCCGGCCAGCGGAGTTGCGGCGGGACGGGGGTGGGGCCAGCTCGCCCACGCGGCCGAGGGCCGCCCCGGGGACTTGCATGGGCCGCCCCCAGGGAGCGCCCCAGCTGCCACCGCGCCCATCGCCCTGGCAGGGCCAGGCCTCCAGCCGCTGCCAGTCCCCAGCCAGCGCGGCTCGGCCGTTTGCACAAGGGCGATCGCCGGGCCACCTGCTCTGCAGCCCCGTGCAAGCCGCACTTACAGCCCGCTGGCCTGGCCCCTGCTGCAACCGCCGGGACCGCCAGGCAACTGGGACAATGCGGGAGGTATCCCCCGTTGTGCTTCCCTGCTGCTCGGGCTAGCATTGGTTCCTCGCGGGGTGGGGTGAAAAGCTGCCCCCTATCACCACAGTGGGGTTCCCAGGGCAACACTAGATCTAAGACAGCCAAGTCCAATTGACCCAGCCCCCAGCGCCCCCCCTGCACAGCGGAGATGCTCTACAGTCTGGGCACTTACTCCTCTGGGCATCCTAGTGATTTGCAATAAGATCCTGAGGCTTTAAGGGCTGCGTTGCAGAATGATAGGGCCAGATCCTGGCATCAGCTGCGATTCCTGGGAACATGAATTTTGGGAGGAAGGGGCCTCTGTTACATTCATCCTTTCCTAGCTGCATCTGTCCCAGCACATTCTAGAGCAGTGGTATACAGTATAATATACAGACAGCCCACACAACACACCCAATCTTAGCTGGTCCAAGAAGAAGGAGCCCCCATCACATAAATCCTCCCCCTTAAGGCTAGCCTGGCCTGTGCTTTTACAGAAAAGAGATTCTAGGATTGCAAATAAAGCAAGACTTTAATATTGGAGAAAAGCAGGGGGCAGTTAGAAATGCAGCCTGGAGACTGAGGCCGTGAATAGTGACCAATCATTTATAAATCCAGGTGCTGTCTGACAGCCTAGTGAGTAGTGAGAGACTAGCACCTATATTTAGTGAGGACCAGGAGAGGACAAGTTCAAGTTCACTTGTTATATTCCAGTCCTTCCCATCATCCACTCCTGCCCCTCCATAGCTTAGAGCCTGAGATTCAATCCCTAAACATGGAATGAATATTAAGCACATCCAACTGCTCATGAAGTGCAAGTCAGTTTTTAAATAAGCTTGGCAATTCATTCATTTCAGAGGTCATACACCAGACCAATTCCAAAGTGAGAAAGCCATCCAGTGGAATACAAGGCCATCTAGAGGTTGATACAAATATTACAAACTGTGGTCACAATCTTCAGGGATTGTCCTGTGGGTTGGAAAGAAAAACTTCCCATTATGCAGGAGATCAGCCTAGAGAAATATAATTGTCCCTTTGGGCTTTAAAAATCTATGAAACCTTAACACTTCTAACCCTCTGCCTAAAATAATGAGCACTGATTTAAAGCTAACCTGCCTATGACTTAGGGCTTTTCTACACACAAAGTTGAACTAGTTTAACTAAAATAGGTTTAAAAACTTGTTGGTTTGGTTACACTAGTTCAAAAACCCTGTGTGGACACATTTTAAACTTGGCTTATATCAACTTAATTGAAGTCAGTTCCTTACCAAATTGAGTTAAATCAATATAAGCCATTTTTAAACTAATTGAAGTATCTGCCTCAACTCAACTACATCAATTTTAAAAACACCCTTAATTAAACTGGTGCAACTGTGTGTCTAGACAAGACCTTAGATTGAGAAACATCTGCATGAGAAGGAAGAAACTCACTAAAAATAACACACATTCCCAGAACACTGAGTTTTCAGATTCTAAAGGAAAAGAAAGTTTGCAAATGTAAATTTGGGGGGGGGGGGAATAAAATGGTTAACTGACCATCAATACACTGGTTCCATGGTACTCGGGCAGATTTGATAGGTCACCAGCTCAGGCATCACAGCAGAATCCAGGCTGCTGCAGAGGGGTTGCATTTCACAGGAGCTAAAAGAGAAGAATGACTGCTTTCCAGCAACCTGCTGACTGTGCACCTATTAACCAGGTTAAGAGATGGGCCAATATGCGAAATATTATGGGACAATACACTCTGGTTTATCTGGCCTGGGGGACATCCAAATCTGTCAGCTAACCAGGTGTTCCAGATAAACAGAAGGGCTGTTCTGAGCTACAGTTTCACTGCATGTAGCCCTATGTTAATCACCCGCTAATAGCTTCTCAATTAGCCTCCATGTGCCAGTGGCTTTCTACTTTTATGCTTAATACTTTACTAAAGAGTAAAACACCCTCTGTTTATTAAAACACCAAAAATTATTGAAGTTATATTTACAGTGGTTTTAAATACAATTTTAGTGTCAATTCTATTTGCAGGGCTTAAAGAAAGTTCGTTATATATATATATATATATATATATATCTCACACACACACACACACACACACACACACACACACAATGTTGTTAAAATAGCACTAAAATTCAATGAACAGAGGCCTAGATGTGATCTTACTTCATTAATCAACAAGGGGGGGGGGGAAAAAGAGTGCTGCAGCTATGCTGCTGTCGAAACATAGTGTAGACCCTTCCTACAGCAACAGAAAGGGGTTTTCCATCAATGTAGGTAATCCACTTCCCCAAATGGTGGGAGCTAGCTCATGATCTGGCCACACTACGGGATTACTCCGAATGTACAGAATTCGATTTTTGGCAACCGATTGTATAAAGTCAAGTGTATGCGGCCACACTAAGCACATTAATTCGGTGGTGTGCGTCCATGTACCAAGGCTAGCGTCGACTTCCGGAGCGTTGCACTGTGGGTAGCTATCCCATAGTTCCCGCAGTCTCCTCCGCCCATTGGAATTCTGGGTTGAGATCCCAATGCCTGATGGGGCCAAAAACATTGTCGCGGGTGGTTCTGGGTACATCTTCCCCCTCCCTCCGGGAAAGCAACGGCAGACAACCGTTTTGCGCCTTTTTTCATGGGTGAACAGTGCAGACGCCATACCACAGCAAGCATGGAGCCTGCTCAGCTCAAGACAGCAGTCATGAACATTGTAAACACCTCACGCGTTAACGTGCAGTTTATGCTGAACCAGAACCTGCAAAAACAGGCGAGGAGTCAGCTACAGCAGTGCGGCGACAACAGTGATGAGGACATGGACACAGAATTCTCTCAAACCGTGGGCCCCAGCGCTTTGGAGATCATGCTGTTAATGGGGCAGGTTATAGCCTTGGAACACCGATTCTGGGCCCAGGAAACAAGCACAGACTGGTGGGACCGCATAGTGTTGCAGGTGTGGGACGATTCCCAGTGGCTGCGAAACTTTCACTTGTGTAAGGGCACTTTCATGGAACTTTGTGACTTACTTTCCCCTGCCCTGAAGCGCCAGAATACCAAGATGAGAGCAGCCCTCATAGTTGAGAAGTGAGTGGCGATAGCCCTGTGGAAGCTTGCAACGCCAGACAGCTACCAGTCAGTCGGGAATCAATTTGGAGTGGGCAAATCTACTGTGGGGGCTGCTGTGATGCAAGTAGCCAAAGCAATCACTGAGCTGCTGTTACCAAAGGTAATGACTCTGGGAAATGTGCAGGTCATAGTGGATGGCTTTGCTGCAATGGGATTCCCTAACTGTGGTGGGGCGATAGATGGAACCCATATCCCTATCTCGGCACCGGAGCACCAGGGCAGCCAGTACATAAATCGCAAGGGGTACTTTTCAATGGTGCTGCAAGCACTGGTGGATCACAAGGGACGTTTCACCAACATCAACATGGGATGGCCGGGAAGGGTTCATGACACTCACGTCTTCAGGAACACTAATCTGTTTAAAGGGCTGCAGCAAGGGATTTACTTCCCAGACCAGAAAATAACCGTCGGGGATGTTGAAATGCCTATAGTTATCCTTGGGGACCCAGCCTACCCCTTAATGCCATGGCTCATGAAGCCATACACAGGGAGCCCGGACAGTAGTCAGGAGCTGTTCAACTACAGGCTGAGCAAGTGCAGAATGGTGATAGAATGTGCATTTGGACGTTGAAAGGGTCACTAGTGCATGTTACTGACTTGCTCAGACCTCAGCCAAACCAATATCCCCATTGTTATTGCTGCTTGCTGTGTGCTCCACAATCTCTGTGAGAGTAAGGGGGAGACCTTTATAGCGGGGTGGGAGGTTGAGGCAAATCGCCTGGCCGCTGATTACGCGCAGCCAGACACCAGGGCGATTAGAAGAGCACACCAGGAAGCGCTGCGCATCAGAGAAGCTTTGAAAACCAGTTTCATGACTGGCCAGGCTACCATGTGAAAGTTCTGTTTGTTTCTCCTTGATTGACTCATTCCCTGTAAGGAAACCACCCTCCCCCCCTTCAATCACAGTTTGCTTTCAAAGGAAATAAAGACACTATCATTTAAAAATCATATATTCTTTATTAATTGATTATAAACATAGGGAGAGAACTGACAGGGTAGCCCGGGTGGGGTTTGGAAGGAGGATAGGAGGGAAGGAAAAGGACACTTCAAAAGTTCAAAATAATGACAGCCTTTTGCTTGGGCTGTCCACTGGGGTGGAGTGGGCGGGTGCACGGAGCCTTCCCCCCCACGTTCTTACACGTCTGGATGAGGAGGCTATGGAACATGGTGAGGGGGGAGGGCGGTTATACAGGGCCTGCAGTGGCACTCTGTGATCCTGCTGCCATTCCTGAAGCTCCACGAGAAACTGGAGCATGTCCATTTGATCCCGCAGTAGCCCTAGCGTTGCATCCTGCCGCCACCTCTCGAGC